AAAAGTAAGCGCCACAAAATCTCTGCTGATTAGGTCACTTGAAAGATGAAAGGCTACCATGCAATAAGGGCAAAAGTCAAAAAATGCTCAAAAGACAAGAGTCCTAGAGATTAAAAAAATAAAATCGTCAAAATTAAGGAGAAAGAAACAGAAAGATGCCCTAAGCAGTCTGTCCGAAACATCTGCCTAGTACCTAGGATCAGCCCAAGACCTTGGAAGGATAGCACTTCCCTGTGTCTCTACTGAGCCCAAGGGCAACTGACGTTCAACACCAAAGTTGAGCAATGTTAATATTTATCAGTTAAGTTTTAGCATGAGTTAAATAGGATTATTTGCATTGGCTAGGGATACTCAATTCATACAGAATACTGTTCCTTTAGGAAAATATAGTTTACATCACAAATAATTTACTGACTCTTGGAACACAACTCTCAGTAGTTAGCTAGAGTAAAGTGCTTCCATTGACTTTATGATTATAATAATCACTATCTCCACAATATCTTGCAAAATTGCAGCATTTTAAAGCAATCGTCTAAGTCAATAATACCAAGGATCAATAGTAAGTGGCAGACAGAAGCCAGGATTTTGTGGCAGGCTTCGCATCAAGTTTGGCCACCATTAAGAAATGCTAGCAGAGATGCTGGAAGGACTAGTATTTGGTGCTGGACTAGGTACATGACTCCCCACCACAATGGCAATGTGGAATAATTATGCTTGTCTCTGAGAGACAGATGTCAAGTCAAGAGTTCTTATTCCATTCTCTTATTTCATCAAGTACCTATATAGAGCTACAGAAACTACAGATGATATTGGTTAGTTAAGCCTGGCAATCTTACCTCATAACTAGACTGATTTTGGTCTTTAGGCCACTGGAAAAACCTAACAAAACACAGGCAGGCAGACACACACACACACACACACACACACTAAAACTCAATCAGGATAATTAAACTGTCATTAACATCCATAGGGCAGATAAGAGGGAGGGTTACTATTCAACTAAAGTTATTTAGTCTCAACTGATACATCATCTATGGACAATACAGGACAGAAACAGCAGAAATAACATCGGCAAAGGCAGTAAAGGACATGTAACACACGAGAAGCAGAAAAATAATCACTTCATCAGCACATCAAAGAGCATCTATGCAGGCACTTCAACAATCGTAGAAAATATAACTAAAACTCACTTGGTGACAAAAGTTTTTCATAGCCATGTATATGAGAAATTTTCAAAAAGTTCATGGAACGTGTGTATTATCAATAACTAGACATACACTTTCAATGTTCTGTGAATCAAAACTACTTTCTTTTAACTTGATTTTCCATGCACTCTTTAATGTTCCTTTGCATTCACAATTGGCTATATCCACTCCTGTGCATGTCTAACCAATTCCTAAGGGATCTGGAGTAGCCATTCTGGATGGAAAACGTTTCTCTACAGCAAATACAGAATATGGTGGTAGAACAGACTTATCAAAGCTAATGACGCAATCATAGCATTCATTCTGTTCTCAAAGCTTATGTTCAAAATCTGTAAGATCACTTCTATACTTCCATGTGTTTTCTGAATTGCAAGTAAATAAGATGAAAGATCAATTTATAGTTTACTGTAGATAGTGTACATTATGAACATTTGTATCTTTAAAAGCCCCCAAGACTCAGAATTTGGTCTTTGTATGCATAAATTATGAGTAAGACGCTATTCTGCATTTTGAATGCCACAGCTTGATTCAAGAAATTGTAAAATTGACAGTGTTTTGTATTTTTATTATTCTAAATATAGTTGTATAGCAGCATATTTGTTTACATTTCATTACTTCCTACTAGGCTATATACTGCTTCTAGACAGATATCTTATTCATCTCTATTTTTCCACATTCCAGTGGAATCTTTGACATACAGTAAATGTTCATTTATATTCCTTATATGAAGTGCAGCCACAGTTGAATAGACATAAATGTCTATTCCCAATCTTAAATGGAAATGAGTACACATGTAAATATACACACATAAAGGGATAGGTATTATTTCAATTTTCCCTCATGGATATGTTTTGATTACTTTGAGAACCAGAAATTTCAAACTGTAACAGTATATCAACTTGGTCTAAATCACTAAGTGAATGCCTCCAAATGAAATATGGTAATTATGCTAAGAAATTGATGTCATGAGGTCTTAATTCTAAAACTGCAGTAATCTTGTAGAAAATAGACAAATGTCTTAAACAATATCTGAAAGATCTCCTCTAACTCCATAGTTTCTAAAGATACTTTTAAACTCACTATTGGTAATATCCACCAGCACTTACTGGTTGTCTACCAAAGCTTACGTTAAGCACTTTACTTCAATGAACTCACTTAACCTCAACAATGATATGAGGCAGGTACTGTGATCCTAACTGTGAGAAACATTTTTTTTAATTATTAGAGAAAATATTGTGTCCTTAGGAACAATGTTCTCATTTTACATATCAATCAAAAACCAGAGGAAGAGTATAGAAAAGACGTTAGTGTTAGGCAGGGACGTGGTGGATATGGAAACATAAAGGGGCATAGAGGAAGACCTATAAGCAAAGGCAAGATGCAATGAAAAGATCTAACTTATCTAAGAAATGGCCAGAATTTCAATGGTGGAAACTAGGTCGGGGGGTGGGGTGCTTTGGATATGCTGTGGGAGAGAAGGAGACGCTTCATCAGGAGACCAACAGCTGATAAACAATGCTGCTTATTTTTACAGCAGCAGCTCTACTTGGTGAGTATTTGATGGTTATTGCAGATTTATGTTAAAAACTTCCAGGATTCAAATGCATTCCTGGGTAGTCTAGAAGCCAGTGTTGTTCTTAGCTTCTATGTTATAATGTCTCCTGCCTATTATAAATATTATACACAGACATACACACACACACATACACAGACATACACACACACACATATATATGTATGCCTGGCAGGAGAGTGACACAGTTATACTTTTTCATGCTAAAATGATAAAAATCTCTAGGAAAAAGAGACACAAACAACAAATACCATTTAAAATGTAGAAATTACCGAAAGAACTCTTGTGAGCTTTGTGGCCACTCATTATTACCTCATGGGTAGAACCAGATCTGAGAATCTGAATTCTGATCAAGACTCCTTTTCCCACTGGTATCAAAATGCAAAACACAAAACTCTGCTTTTAATTATAATGTGGAAGAAATAGGAACATTTACAACTTACTACATGCCTGCCGTGTGCCACTCTCTGAAATTAGGTGCTTCATACACATTGTACTGCATTTTCACAAACTGTGATAACATTTTAATTCCTACTATAGAATCTCAAGTTTGTGTATTTTAAAAGGATTTTATTATTTATTTTACTGGAAAGTCAGATTTTACAGAGAGAAGGAGAGACAGAGAGAAAGATCTTCCATTTGCTGGATCACTCCCCAAGTGGCCACAATGGCCAGAGCTGAGCCAATCCGAAGCCAGGAGCTTCTTTCTGGGTCTCCTACATGGGTACAAGGTCCCAAGGTTTTGGGATGTCCTTGACTGCTTTTCCAGGCCAAAAGCAGGGAGCTGGATGCAAAATGAAGTAGCTGGGGCATGAACTGGCGCCCATACAGGCACATGCGAGGCAAGAACATTAGGCAGTAGGCTACCGCAATGGGCCTTCAAGTTCATGTGTTTTAAATGGTATACTTAGACTATGTGCCAGGCACATTAGCGGGATTCTAATACAGGCACCTGGTGGCTCCACTTCTGATCCAGCTCCATGCTAATGCACCTGGGAAAGCAGCGGAGGCTGGCCCAAGTGCTTGGGTCCCTGCACCCACATAGGAGATCCTGATGAAGCTCCTGGCTCCTGGCTTTGGCCTGGCTCAGCCCTGGCCATTGTGGCCATTTATGGAAGAGAACCAGCATATGGAAGATCTTTCTCTTTCTCCTGTCTTTTTTTGTCTCTTCCTCTTTGTGTGGAAAAACTCTTTAAAATAGAGATTTTTAAAAATAAATAAAATTAAAGGATTAAACATCAGAATACTACATATCACTCCATTTCTGAAAAATAAAGCATATGGAAAAGACTAGAAGATGCTGATCAAAGAAGAGTGTCTACATCTAGGGGGAGGGGAAGAGCACTCCCTGACAGATGTGTTCCATGCTACAGCATCTAGGCAACAGCTTAATAAGCATCCACAGTAAAGTTCACTTGGCTAAGAATTTAAGATCTGGTTACTTTACAAATAACAGTGCCACAAAATCAAACAGACAATAAGACCTTGTAAATTTTTGTAAATACAGCTTTTATGTGTTTTTAAAAATTTGCTGCTATTATTTTATGATGAGAAGCAGTTAATGTGTTATAAAAATTTGGTCTTGCTCTGAAAGGAGTTAGCACTAAGGTGCCCAGAAACAGGAGGATCCCAGCCAGCAACAGATGAGTGCGTGACCACAGCAGGGCAAACACTCCAAGACAGCCCGGGCCTCACGGTCCACAGACCCGCACAGGTCCGGACAGGGACCTTCACCCACATGCTCTAGCGTGATCCCTGCTGTCCTAGGCGTACTGACTAAACTTCATCTCCTTGGTTAAAAATAAATTTACTCTCCTCAGAGAACCTTTGAAAATAATTTCCTTCAACATCAACCTGATCATGAAATCTAACTTCAGGCACATGAAATATAAACCATTATATGAATAATCCATTCTGGCACACTCTGAGGGACAGACTGGGTTTTCTATGATAGGAAGCTGCACACGCTCTATTTTATACAAGTTTTCATCAAGTCTTAGAACCATGCGCTGTGCTTCTCTGACACATTTATGGAAGATGTTTTTGAGAGTCACAAAGAAGGGAGCATGTGACACTAACGAACAAACAAACCCAGATTAATCAATCTTTTACATTCTCACCATTCAACAGAAGGAAAAAAAAAAGATGTAATGGTCTAAACAAAGCGCATAATGAGCCAGGCCCTCCAACACGCCCCACTACCTGGACAGCTGCATTCTCACCTTTATCACGGTCGTAGAGTAAATCTTCTGTGGAGCAGGGGCTACCGTCCTGGGATTCCGGGGGACAGAACGGGGAGACACAGGGCGAATGACTGCTACAGCTGCTGCTGCGCTCCTGCACAGACGGGGTCTGCGTGTCGATGCTGCGAGTGCTGCTGCTGCGGTAGTGGGCAGGGAGCGGAGCTCTTCGGCCATCGGGGATGTCCAGAGGCTGGGGGAGGAACGTCACGAAGCATGTGAATAAGAACATGTGCAAATCACAGAGAAAACGCGTGGTGCTTTCTTTGATTTCAGATTCCATCACTAGAACCGCCGTAATTCAGAGGAGCTATGTCTTGAGTTAACTTTAAGACAGAGTACCTTCACTGAACTAAAATGTTCTTTCAAATCTAATTGTTTGTCTTAAAATCCCACAGCTTTCTGTGTGGATCAGAGCATAGAACTCCCCAGGATTCCTGTCCAGGAGGGTGTCAGTCTGCGCCTCTAACATCTAGCACCAGTCCTGCATGGAGTGGACATCTAGCACCGTGTCCTACAGAGTGGACACGACATCTAGCATCGTGTCCTACAGAGTGGACATCCAATAAACCTTTATTGAGTGAATTTATGGAATTGCCACAAACATCTCTTTGATTTGCTGGTAAGAAAAACTGAAAAATCAATATTTACATGTATAGATTTTTCCCTTACTCTTATCTTAACGTTCTAGAAGACAGGAATATACTTCTATTTCTTAATCTGCAACTGGGTAATACTTACCAACTTCTTTGATTAACTTTTGTTTTATTGGGACTTAGAAAAATTACAAAACACTTTAGAAATATATAAATATGTAAATATGTAAATATTTATATATAAAACCAATGACAAACTTTCTAAGCCTTGGAGTATCAATATATTTAACATGACAGTTTTCTTTTTTATTTATGGGAAGGCAATGTATTAAAACTGAGGCACACTTAATAATAAATCCAAAATTTGTAACAACTGTTAGTTACAAGTTTATAATTGATCCCAGGATAATTCTGAAATGGCTATTAAATCATAATGAATTATTTAAAATAACTATTTTAGTAAGTTTCCTTATTATAGTAGTTTTTGGCATGCTTATGGAATAAAAAATATATTATTATTTCATCTTTCAAAAATAGACCAACATTAATTCATTACATTCTTTTTCTCCAACTTTTAGTGAATGTATTAAAAGAAAAATGTAATGATAAAAAGCTACGAGATGGCAAAATACATATATAAAAGGAATATCAAACTCAATAGAAAACAAAGTGATACTATCTTTTAGGAAGTGTTTCTGGAAATATCAAAATGTTATTTATTTGAAAGGCAGAGTTAGAGAGACAGAGACTGAATCTTTCTTTCAATGTGTCACTCAGGCCAGGAGCCTGGATCTCAGATGGGTGGCCAGGTATCACGGACCTGGGGCCATCTTCTGTTGCTTTCCCAGGCCCATTAGGAGGGAATTAGACTGGAAGTGGAACAGCTAGAGTTTGAATCAGCACTCACATGGGATATTAATCTAGTAAGCAATAGCTTCACCCTGTTGTACCATAATGCAGGCCCCAATATTCATCAAAATTGTAAATGTAAAACTAACACTCATCAATTTCATTGCTAGGAGATTATTTATGAAAGTATACTCCATTTTGTAGAACAATACCTGTGATGAAAAAACAATCTAAATGTCAACAATAGGAGGCATAAATATTACAGTAATCAATTTAATGATTTAATATTTACAAAAGAGCTACCTCACACATAAACACACACGGAGCATCAGGAAGAATACATACACAAGTTTCTCACACTTGCTGAGCAATATGAAGAGTAGCAACCTTCATACTCATTTACTTTTAAATGTATTCATTTAAGAGGCAGAAACACAGGGAGAGTGGGACAAGTTCTACCAATTGGCTCAGTTCCCAGATGCCTGTAGTACTGGGGTGTGAAGGGAAGAAAGGGGGAGAGGCAACATCAGGAGCAGGGAACTCAACCGAGGTCTTCCATACAGCTGGCAGGAACCAAACTACTTGATACAGCATCCACTGCCTTCCAGGGTCTATGTTAGCAGGAAGGTGGAATCTGAAATCACAGTCAGGGCTCAAATCCGGGTACCCTGATGCTTAGTGGTACCCTGACTGGAGCATTAGTGGCAATATGATGGCAAACCAAGCAGAGTCTATAATGGAGTATAATGGCAAGGCCAAGGAGGAACTTTATATTTATTTAAGAAAAATAACCCAGCTTAAAATTTACACATTATTTGAAAGAATGAGATACACACTTCATATAGCTCAAATCCTAAATTTAATTTTCTAAAAGTACTAGGCAGCTCATTGTGCCAAAGGTTACTTGATGTTTCATTTAGTTTAGTGTGCCTTTAAAAATGGGGCCAACTACAGGTTCATATAGCGTAGTCTTCAAGGTAATTTACAAAGCATTTTTTAAATTAATTCAAAATGGATCAAACAACTTAATAAACAGAACACAAAAGAAAGGAGTAAATTAGTGTGAGCTGGGATTAGGCAATGCTTTCTTAGGTATGCCAAGAGAGCAAGCAACAAATGAAAAAACAATGAGTTAGACTTCACTGAAATTTCAAAAATGCAGTTTTCAAAAAACATCAATAAGAAAGTGAAAATTGAGAGGATAACTAACAGAATGGGAGATATTGTGAAATGATAAATCTGTAATTCTGTTAAGGAAATTATATATAGAAAATAAAGATCTTTATAAAAGACATTTATAACAACAAGACAAATAACCTAATTTTTAATTACTGAAATAGATATTTCTTTAAAGAAGCATCAATAACCAATAAACAGCATGTGAAAAGATGCTTAACTTTCTGAGTCTTTAGGAACTGCAAGTCAGCACCACATAACTGAGTGCCATTTAATGCTCATTAGGGTGGCTGTAACTCAGACAGACATCACAAGTTTTGGTGAGGTCTGGAACTGTGGCACAGTGGGTTGAGCCACTGCTTTAGAAGCATTATTCCATTTTGGAGCATAATTCCCAGTCCCAGTTACTTTACTTCCAATCCTGTTCCCTTCTGGCACATGTATTTGGGAAGGTAGTATAAGATGTCCCAAAACTTGGACTCCAGCCCATATGTGGGACACCTGGACAGAGTTGTGGCTCCTATTTTGGTCTGGAATGGCCCTGTCTGTTGTGGTCACTTTGGGATAGCTCATTCTCTCAATCTTTCTCCCTTTTTACCCGCCTCTCTCTCTCTTTTTCTCACTCTTCCTGCCAGATAAATAAGTATTTGTATTTTTTTAAAGAAACTGGAACTCTTATACATGGCTGATGGTAATGTGAAATGGTACAGCTACTTCTGAAAAACATCTGCAAGTTACATCAAAGGTTAAACACAAAGTCACCAACAAAGTCACTGTAGCAGCAGTTCCAAGGATATATCAAAGAGAAATGAAAACATCAGTCACATGAAAATTATATGCAAATGCAAATAATGGCATTGTTTATGACAGCTAGGGAAGTAGAAATAATGTACATGTCCATCAAATGATGAATAGGTAAATAAAACCTGCAAAATTTGGTATTATTTGGCAAAGAAAGGAAGTATTAATACATCTTCTCACATAGGTGAACTTTAACTCTGCTAAGTAGAAAAAGTCATTTACCAAAGTCTACATAGCATGATTACACACACACACACACACACACACACACACACAATGTGTAGACCAGGAAAATCCACTAAGAAAACAGATTAGCGGTTGCCTAGTTGGGAAAGTGTTAATAAGTGTAGGACGACTGCCAAGGCCAGAAAGTTCTTTCCGGGGATGATGAAACTCTAAAACTGACTTTTGTTATGACTATACAACAGTGTAAATGTTAAAAAAAACTCTGAATTGCACATCAGAGGTATATGGTACAGTATGTGAACTGTTTCTCAATAAAGCTGTTACAAAAAACACATTAAAAAAACTATTTTTAAGATATCTTGCAATATTAAAGAAAAAAAATTCCAAACGCTTATGTTATCTTACCTTAGACACTTCCTCCTTTCCATTATTCTCTTTAATGAACACCTTTTCTAATTCAGGACTTATTCCTTCTACATTGCAGGGCACACGTGAAATAGATGATTTTGGCACTGATATGCTGGACAGTGGCATAGGGACTGACCTTGATCCAGAAGCCTAGGAGACAGAGTACAAAGTGCCATCAAAATAACCCATGAAAAACTGCTTTTATATAAGGGCAAAGGTAGAATTCTACAATGCACACAGCTGTTTGGTATCACAGCAGCTACAACCTTGGCATTGTTTACATTTTCCCCTTTTTCTGTTTTACCAGAGAAGTACAGTAGAGATCAAGGAAGTTAAGCATATCATATGGCTCCACTGTGAAGTCCTGTGTATGTCTAAAAGATTTGTTTCTAAATTAACAATTACCTTCCAGTATTTTTAATTTCTATTTTGTTAGTCATTTAAGACTATTCTATTTTGTTAGTCATTTTCTTAAATGACTATCAGATATTTATTTACTTATTTACATTTTGTGATACAGTTGCATAAGCTCTGGATTCCCCTCCCATCCACTGACTTCCCCTCTATTATTTGCATAGCCCTTCCTAAACAGTCAGATGACCATCACTCTGCCATTTAAGTGTATCATGACATTGTGGGTATTAACAATGGCAGAGTCCAGCATCCTACTGTCAAGATACATTTAAGTTTCATTGGGAGTAGTTCTTTGGTAGTAAGCCTGCATATCGCATTGTGTTTTCACATCTGGATATGATAGTCTCTATTACACAGCTGCTACACATCCCTTTAAATATAAAGCCACAAGACAAAGTTGACATTAGGATACTATTCTGGGTTGGCATTTTTTCTGTTTCAGGATCTGGAAAATGTCACTCCAATCCCTTCTTGCTTGAAGGGTCTCTTTTAAGAAGTCGGCAGAGAGTCTGATGGTTTTCCTCTATATATTTTCTGATCCTTTTTCCATGCTTGTTTCAGTATTCTTTCTTTAGGTTCAGTTGAGGGGAACTTGACAATGATGTGTCTAGGTGAAGATCTTTTTGGATCAAATCTGTTTGGGGTTCTCTGCACTTCCTATATTTGGTGTCCCCTTATGTTTGGGAAGTTCTTTTATAATTTCACTGAATACTTCCTACAATTCTGCCTCTCTTTCCATGCCTTTAGGAATTCCTATAATTCGGATGTTAGATTTTGTAGATGTTAGATTTTGGCAGTGTCATTCAGCTCTTGGATAGCTGTTTTTTGGGGGGAGGGAGGCTTTTAGTCACCTTTAATTTAGCTCTATAGTGTTTGCTCTATAGTGTTCAGCTCAAGTATTTCCATTTGGATCTGTTTTACAGATAGTATCTGTTGTGCTATATTCCTTAAATTTCTTGAATTCCTGACTTTGTTTCTCACTGTCTCTGAAGAGTTTTATAATGCTTTTTTCTATTCTTTGTCGGGGAGATCCTCAGTATCTTCATCCTGCAGCTCTAAACTGATATGGTCTTTCGTTCATTTTATAGGGAGGCATCAGTTTCCTCATTTATGTCTCTTCCTGTTTCTCTGTTGCCCTTCCCTGTGGCCTTTCACATCTGTGAGCTTTTTCTTCAAGAAAATTTTGTCTTTGTGTTTGTTGTTTCCAAACTTGTGGGTAGGGAGTTTCAGTCTCGGTCTCTGCAGACACTTTGTCCTGGCTGAATTTCTTATTGCTCTCTGTCTTGCCCCACCTGCTTCTCCTGAGTTGTGTAGTGGGGCAGGCCAGCAGTTTTGCTGCTTACATCTCTGCTAAGGCTTCTGTGGTTGTTACCGTGCTTTCTGTTCAGGACACACACTGTGCCCCCAAGCCGCTGATGTGGGCACCCCTGTGGCTCTTCCCTCTCCTCTGGTGTTATGCTGGCATTTTCTGTGGCTTCTAGGGCCACAGAGGTTACTGTGGTAAGGAATACTTGCTGTGACCTGCTCAGGCCAAGACCTGCTCCGACCAGTCCTGTCACAGCCAGGGAGCTGTGGAGTAGAGCCTCTGTCACGGCTGCTCAAAATGTTCAGTTTCCCAGTTACCAGCATTGCTTGAGCACACCAACAGGCAATTCCTGCTATGGATGTGTGCGCCTCTGCAGGTCTCCACTCCCCTGTGTTATTTCGCTTTAGTCATTCCCTTTGCTGGTAGATGAGCGACCTAGGCTTTCACTGCGACTCACACTGGAATTCATGCAGCTGCTCCTAACCTGGATTCTGCTCCCCCGGGGATCCAGTGTTTCCCTTTGGGTGGCTGTGGTATCTATCTGGGGGGGGGGGGCGTGGATTAGGACACAAACCCTTAGGTATGGGGTGGACTCTGTTCTCAATCTGTGAGTTCCTCCCTCAGCTCAATGACATTGAAAGTTTAAAACAAACAAAGAAACAAAAAACATACTTAGTTTTCCATTAGGCACCTTAGAAATACCATTCAAGGGCCTGGAGCAGAAGCCTAGCAGCTAAAGTCCTCTCCTTGAACGTACTGGGATCCCATGTGGGCACTAGCTCTAATCCCGGCAGCCCTGCTTCCCATCCAGCTCCCTGCTTGTGGCCTGGGAAAGCAGTCAAGGATGGCCTAATGCCTTGGGACCCTGCACCTATGTGGGAAACCCAGAAGATGCTCCAGGCTCCTTGCTTCAGATTGGCTCAGCTCTGGCTGTTGTGGCCGCTTGGGGAGTGAATCAATGGATGGAAGACCTTCCTCTCTGTCTCTCTTCTTCTCTGTATATATAACTTTCCAGTAGAAATAAAATCTTAAAAAAAAAAAAAGAATAATGCCTCCAAAAGCACTCGTGTAAGGGAATATCTCAAGAAATTCTTAGAAAATTGAATGAAAAGATAAGCTATTTTGGTGAATAGATGTAAATACTTTTACATTTTAAATTTCGTGCGTATGAGAGGTCTTTAAAAAGTTATGGGAAATGTATGTATGAACAAACTGTATGGATTTCAAAACAGTTCCCACCAAAATAAACTTACCTCTTAATTCCGTTTTTCCAGAAACGCTCTGACGTGTCCTGCACAAGTCTCTGTGCAGACACATGATAAACAGCAAAGTCTGGGAATGCTGAGTTGAACGGTCCTTCTATGTTTAACTTGGTAAGAAACTGTCCTTACCAACATGTACTTATTCTGGTGTGTCACAACTTCCACAATATACGGAACTATCAACATTTTTCATAGTAGTGATTCCTATCATTATTTACTAGCCTCATTTAGTTCACTTTGGTTTTATAAATAAGCAACAATACCATATGCAGATAGTGATTTTTTTTCTATGTCCAGTTAGGACATATTAGCAATCACATTAGCAATTATAAACATTTATGTTTTTTTGTGCTGGCAGTTAATGTTGCCAGCATTTTATTATTACAGTCTCACTGTATTTGTAATTAATCACAGTAGGGAAAAAAATCCCATTTTCAGTTCAGAAAGAGTTTTTATAAAATCACAACTGGACACCCAACTTTTTATCAAACACTATTCATTATCTACACAATAAAATGATTTTTATTTTTAGTTTTTATTTCCCACACTGATTTTCTGATGTTAGGAACTAAGCCAGTCCCAAGTTGAGCTGTCCTTATCTTTGAGAAACAAAGCAACATTGGATCGGCCTTGGGAAGACTGCTTGGATTTTCCACTGTATCATCACATTTGACTTGCAAAGATTTGCATCCATATTTGTAAATGAATTTGGTCTGGAGAGGTGTTTCCTAAATTTTGTTCCAGGGGTTTTGTCACTAACTGCTTTTGAGAGGAAACAAAAACCCTAACCTTTACTTTCTTTCCACAAGGAAATATACATAAAGAAAACTTAATATACTATTAGGAAAATTTGGAGACAATGCTTGTAGCTGCTCCAGAAGTGCAGGAGTTACAATTTCAGTTCAGGCCAGTATCAGACCACAACACTCTCTTAGTTTTGTTCATAAAAGGTTAAACGTATGTTTTCAAAACTTCTTAAAGCAGTTTAGCAAATAGCAATAATTTGATAGAGCTCAAGATTTAAGTGTTTTTTTTTTTAACTCTTAAAATGATGAGGGCTGGAGTCATGGCATAGCAAACTAACCCTCCCCCTGCAATGTCAGGCATCCCATTAGATCGCCAGTTCACATCCTGTCTGCTCCACTTGGGATCTGGCTCCCTGCATCTATGCTGAGAAAACAGCAGCAGACGGCTCAAATGGCCTCTGCACCATAGGAGAGACCCAGAGAAAGCTCCTGGCTCATGGCTTTAGATCAACAGAGCCACTGTTTTGGCCTTCTCTCTCTCTGTCCTTCACTATATAAATTCACTTTTTAAATAAAAAATAAACAATTATAAGAATTATCCCCTTTTTAAAATAATAAAGATAGGTATTTATTTAATTCACTTGAAAGGGGGAGGGGGAAAATGGAGGGAGAGGAGGAGAGACAGGGAAAGCAAAACCACTGGTTTACTCCCCAGATATGTGCAGCAACCAGGGATGGAGCAGGTCAAAGCCACAGAGCCGGAACCAGGAACTCCAATACACTCTCCTGGCAAGGCGGCAGGAACCCAAGCACTGTGGCATCAGCTACTGCCTTCCCAGACACACAGCAGGGAACTGGATCGGAAGTGGAGAGAAGACTCGATCCCAGCCAGTCTCACATGCAATACACGTTTCCCAAAAGGAAATACAACTCACTGTAACCATGAAGCACTCCCCAACAGATTTTCCTTTCATGAACTAAAAGTAATTACTTACATCTAGACAAGCAAAGTGAGCCCACCTGAGTGTGACTGATTGTTATATGGCTGCCATGAAGAGGGGACTGCCGATCTTTCTCCTTACTGTGCCGACTACTCTGCTTACTGCGTTGCAGCTGCTGTCTCAGTTTGGCAATCTGCTTTGGGAGGAGGAAAGAAGAAAAGAACAAAAATAAATTTCAACTTTTGTATTTATTTCTTCAGTTGCCGGTTATTGAGGAATGACTCAAATGTCTCAAAAATAGTTTAATATTTCTCTTTTTAAAAGACTTACTTCTTTATTTGAAAGTGCAACACAGAACGCAGGAAAGACAGAGAATCTTGCATGCACCGTCTTGCTCCCAAAATGGCTACAAAGGCAGACCTGGGCCAATCCAAAATCTAAAGCAGGAACTCCCTCCTCCCTGTTCCTTAGGTGGTAGGCAGGACCTCAGGTACTTAGAACTAGAAGGGGAACCCCCTCCAGGAGGGCTGGCGTTGTAAGCAGAGGCTTAACCTGCCATTCTATAAGGCTGGCCTCAAGAAGTTAATATTTCATCACAATAATTTCTTCTTCCAAGATTTTATGATGAAATTATTAAAAATGAAGAATAAATATATGCTACAAATGTTTCACTTCAACAAATTTAAATTGGGCTATGGGTAAAACATCAGATCTTCTTTTTTAAACATTTTTCTAAGACAAAAAACTATTTCAGATGCCTACTGGCAACTTTGGGGAAGTCATTTAATATTGGTATTATCTTCCTTTTGGGAGGAATGACAACATCAACCAATCTATAAGTATTCTATGAGCACCAACAGTGAACCTGGTTTTATGCTACCTAAGCAAAGTATAAAATATATTGCCACAAAACAAAATTAGCAACAGGAAGAAAAAAAGGATATTTACAACATCATGAAGTTAAATAACATGCTATTGGATGACTAATGTGTTGCTGAAGAAAGAAGGGGAGTGTGTATAGTAACTGTAATGGAGACTATCATATCCAGATGTGAGCACAGAATGCATTATGCATCTCTATTTCCAGATCAAATATGGACTCCCAATGAAACTGTAGAACACATCTTGTCAGTGGGATGCGTGATTCAGCCATTGTCCATGTCTGCAATGATGGACTTAGGACTGTTTATGAAAATGAGACTATTGTAGTAATATAGGGGAACTTAGTAGAGGAAAAGGGAGGGGAAAGGGAAATCCCAGGGCCTATGGAACTGTATCATAAAATGATCAGAAGTACAACTATATGCTTATAGTAAAACAGAATTAAAAGGTGCTTTTTCTGGTATAAAATTTTTTGAATTCCATGTATACAAAAGATTTTCAAAATGTTTATGCAAAATGTGTATTATGAATTTAAAGGGTTTTTGCACTACAATGAACATATTTTAACTTTCTTTTTTTAAAAAACTCATTGAAATACTCTCATACTTGTTTCCTTTATGCATTAACAGGATCTGATAGTAAATATGTAATGTGCTTTTAAAAAATTCACTAATTAATTCATCTGAAAGGCAGAGTGATGACAGTGAGGGGGTGGTGTTGGGAAGGGGAGGCCTGCTGGGGGGACAGTCCATCCACTGGGTCACTTCCCAAACGACTGCCATCAGCTGAGCTAGCCCAGGCCAAAGGACCCAGAAGCTGCATTCAGTTGTGCCACGTGAGTTACTGGAACTCAGGTACTTGAGCTGTATCACTGGGGCTTGCCAAGTGCTTAGCAGGAAGCTGATAGGAAGCTGAGTAGCTGTGATTTTGGCATGTCAAGCAGTACTTAACTTTCAATGCCCCAACACAGACTGGCCTACTGTGCTCTTCATTAAAATTTTGGATTTATTCAAGAGTTGGGGGGGCGCGGGGGGAGAAACAGTTACTTCTCATCTGCTATTTGCCTCTGCAGTGACTCTCCTGGCTGAGGCTGAAGTCAGGAATCAGAATTTCAATCCTGGTCTTCCACATGGGAAGCAGGAATTCACCCATTGCTTTAGGCAATCACTGCTGCCTCCCAGGGTCAACATTAACAGGAGCTGGAGTCAGGATCCAACTGCAGAGTAGACCACATGATGGAGGAACTCTCTCTCTCTCCTAACTCTTTCACATAAAAATATTTTTCCTAAAAAAAAATTAAAGATTATGTGGGTGTTACTATTGTTTTCAACATGGGTCCAAAAAACACTGTTTGACCCTACTGTGCCATGGTCAAGGTAAATTGTTAGATGATTTTGTAATATGAGGGTACTTTCAAAGCTTATGGGAAAACTTTCTTTTGGTGAAAACATTTTTGAAATACATACAGGTGTTTTTTTTTTGTAACAGACATCTGTCATAAACTTTGAGAAGACCCTGTGTACACAGGTTGTTGGGGAAACTAATTTTTACCCATACCAAATAATAGAAAAGAAAGACTATAGAGGAAAATAAGACATCAAAGGAATAACTTGGATCAAGATATCTTGATGCCTGTGGGTTTTTAAAGCTCTTTGTAGATTATGGAATCATCATACAATGTCCTTGAAAAAGACACACAAATAAAATTATGTTAATACTTGTGTTCCCTGCTCATTAAGATAATATCATTTTCTTCTAGAGAACATTAATTTTCATGAGAAATCAAAATTAGTATGTAATGATTATAAATAAACATTATTCTCAGTAATAAAAATAAGATTTCAAGCTGTACAGTTATTTAATTAGGACTGAGGTATAAAATTAAGTGTTTTCTGAATATTAATGATGTCTTGATGGTGTTGCCAAGACTGATAAATGCTTATAAGTAAGAGCCCAGAATATCTAGAAATTAATCAAGGTAATTTGTACTGATTTGTTTTTTAAAAAGTCAATAAAAATAAACAAAAATAATCTTAAAATTGAAAAACCTTACTCAACCTGTTTGGCAAGGTATCTGGCACATCAAAAAAGTCAGAAAACTTTGTCTATGCATTTTTGCATTTTTAACTATCACCTTTTCTAACACAAAAAGTACCTATCATGCTACACACCGTACTTGCTTGGAAAGATCTGCTTAAACAATCTAACTTTATATTATTTCATACAACATTGTCCAGCTTTGGAATGGTTATGATCCTGAATACAATTCAGTAGGAATTAGGATGAAAAGACAGTCTGTCTTCCTAAACATACAGCACTGGGACATGACACATTCTAGTTAAGGCCATGTGAATTGCAAGTGTGGCAACTATGTTAGGAAGTCCTCCCGTGCTTTGGAGAACAGGAAGCTCCTGCCACCTCCAAAGGGTGGCAGATCTGCTTAGCAGCATGACAATGTGACAACAATCCTGCCATCTGTGGTCTTTGCACAGAATTTCCCATCTTTTCACTTTGCCCCCAAGTTTATCTGAAGCCACCAATTCTCACCAAGCCTAGCACCAGCGCAGAGCAAACACAAAGGCGTGCGGGGAGGAAGGGACAAAGGAAAGCTGCAATGTTTCCTCTTGCTTCTTGTATTACTCTGAACTTGCGCTCACTTCCCACTGTCTGATACAGCAGCACTGTTCCTCACTGCAGTGGGTCCACTCCAGAAAACATGATGAAACAAGTAAACAGAATTGCTCTTCAAAAAGGGGAAGAGCTGTTACCCTGAACTTTTCAAGCTCACCTATAGGCAAAATTTACTTTATGCTTCTAAATATTCATCAGCTATTCTGAAACCTTAAGAAAAATATAGAGATAAAGGGTCCCATGTGCTGGCATAATAGCTCAGTCCTTCACCTGCAGTGCTGACATCCCATATAGGCACCATTCAGTGTCGCAACAGCTCCACTTTCAATCCAGCTCTCTATTTATGGTCTAGGAAAGAAGCAGAGGATGGTCTAAGTCCTTGAGTCCTGGTACCAATGTGGGACCCTGAGAGAAGCTGTCGGCTCCCAGCTTCAGATCAGCTTAGGGTGGCCATTTGGGCAGTAAGCCAATGGATATAAGATTCTCTTATGTCTCTCTCTTCCTCTGTAAAATTTGCTTTTTAAGTAAGTAAACATACATGAAATAATTTTTGGAACAAAGGATCCTTGGCCTCAAAGACAAAATACTCATTGCACAGAGAATAATTATCACAGTCATAAAGAAAAAGCAACAACATTTGTGCATTACATGAAAGAAAATCAGAAACCAGGTAGGTCCATGCAAGTCTGAAAAATAGAACTGCATTTTTTTTTTGAAACCTGGTAATATCATTCTTGCTTATTTGTTATTTTTGTCGTTTTTCTTTTTTCCTCCCATTATTGTTAACATCTAAAACCAAACCAAAATAAAACAAACCTCTTAGCCTCAGAAGGCTGGTCATTTCGTTGTTGCTGTTTGCTTTAGGAACTGAAGAGAGGGAAGTATTTTTCTGAATGGCTTTTACCACACTAAGTAGACCAGCAAGATGAGACATTTTAACTTAAAAAAACTAAATAGGAGTGGGAGGGAAGACAGAACCCTAGGATATTTGGAACAGAAGGAAAAAGAAAGTAAGAGAGCTAGCCCTAAACCAGGAAACATACATGTATCAAGATATCTCTTATCCTCAGCTATTCCTCCAAGTTGTGATCTAAGTACAATGTCAGAGAAGTTGGGAACTCCAACTTCTTACATCCAATGAGGGACAAGGCGGGAAGCACATCTCTTATTTTGTGACAGTCCTGAGCGGGATCTGATATAAAAATGACTGCACATACTAGTTTGTGTTCTATCCCACTACTGGTTTCAAAACAAAATTACACAAAACAACGTTTCAGTGTGAAAAACATATCCAAAGTATAGGGCATCAAATTTATAATGAAACATGTTAAGACATAACCTATTCAGAACTGTGTTGTGTAATTAATTTTGGCCGTCAGTTCCCTTAATGTAACAAAAAATGCCATCTGAAAAGAAAAGCTGCAAATCTTAACTAAAGTAAAAGTAATTTATATTTAATAGAAAGTGACCATTCTGGATTGGGCAGTTTGAGTACTGTTAAATTGAACAGTTTGGACTAAAGCTGCCTGGATATAATTTTAATTTTGGCTTAAAAGTTTCTCACACCGAATGATAAATAACCTACCTTGACCTGTGAACAGACTATAACCTAACCCAGTAACAAGAAGCAGAGTTTCAGCCAATCACAAACAGACTATACTCAGATGTGTTCAAGTAAGCAGA